CTACATGAATTTGGTCGTAATATTGAATTGTTCCTTTAAACATAAAAAACGGTAGCACAAAAATGGCCATCGCAAATAATCGTTTTTTTTCTTAAACATATTACATTATTCGTACTAAAACAACAAGTTTCTTAAGTTTGGATGTACACAAAACTACATAAAACACTTGAATCGATTATTCAAATAATGTACTTCGTTTGTTTTGACATTTGTATTTTACCTCTGGGCTTGAATGAAGTTTCAACAGAGACAACTGCTGATTATTTCAAATTTATGGATTTAACCGAGTATAAAACATGTCATCGTGATACGTGTTTATCGAAGAGGTTTACGGATTTATTGATAAAGTTTCGAGAAAAAAGTATTCTTTTAAAAATATAGCACAATGCAAACTCGAATAAATATAACCGGAATTTTTTAACTCTTAAACAAAAAAAAATCACATCCAACCAGTTATACTAAATAATCTGGGTATTATTGTTTAGAATTAATTTCTACCTAATTGACTTAAGTCGAGAAAGTTGAACTGGATTTCCAAGGGAATTTCAACTCGGAGCCGTGAAAAACCGTTTCCTAATGACTTTCACCGCAAAAATACTAACGTTTTCCCGCTGAAATCGGGGGTTAGCTTAACGAGAGAGTGTTAGTAAACCAACACTTCAATCAAAAAAAGAAGAAAAACTGGGCTATAATTGGCAACGCAAATTGAACACGGAATGTAAACGAGGATCAAAACCTTTGCCCTCGAACTGAAAAATAGGTTTATAGTTCAATCCACAAATTTCATCCCGTGTGACGCCTATCGGCTTATAACTTATCATTATAACTTAATGTTATAATGATTAAAATAAGAATTGTCCCAAAATTATACTCAAATTAGACACAGAGGGAGTATGGCCTATTCAAAGTCAATTATTAATTATTTCTTATAAAACAATTTTAATCACACTCATAAAAAAGCTTTCTTATTTTTTTTTCTTCTAAATCCTAAGTATTTTGAAACTACACTAAAAAATAACACACACTAAAACACTTATTTTTTTATAACTTCATTGATCGAAGAGAAATTCAGCTGGGCCATCTAAAAAGACAACCTGTATGTACGGAATACACATAACTAAAAAAAACCTCTTATAGGACTCCAAATTGTTACTTTATGTAAATATTCTGATTTTTAATCCGAAACGTTTTTCAGTTTACAAAACTTTTATATTTAAAAAAAATATTATAAATAAATTCACTAATTTCGTGGTCCACTGGACTTAATTAATATTAATATATTACAATTAATTAAGGTTTTTAGTCGAGATAAAAAAGTCAATGGGACGAGCTGGATTCGAACCCACGATCTTCGGCTTGATACGCCACTGCTCTACCACTTGAGCTATCGTGACCGCGATCCACTCGGACACCAACTTTCCATCTCAACCGCACCTTTTGAATTTTCTTTCCTTTTTGCCATTTTTCAATCGAATCCCGCTCGTGCCATTGACTTTTTTATCTCGACTAAAAACCTTAATTAATTGTAATATATTAATTGGTCAAGCGGACCACGAAATTGGTAAATTTAATGTTTTAAATGAAGTATACTTCACTAAAGCTCTTCGTGGCCATTTCATTTGTCGAGAATCCAATCCGAATACACGATATTTATAATTAATAAAGGTTTTTAGTCGAGATAAAATAGTCAGTGGCACGAGCGGGATTCGAACCCACGATCTTCGGCTTGATACGCCGCTGCTCTACCACTTGAGGTATCGTGACCTCGACCCACTCGGACACTAACTTCCCATCTCATTCATTTTCATTTCTATCTCATTTGAATTTTCCCTCCTTTTTGCCATTTTTCAATAATCTATTTGATTCTCGGCGACAAATGAAAGCTTTACTGAAGGTATGCTTCATTTAAACTTATTAAATTCACTAGTTTCGTGGTCCGCTTGAACAATTAATATCTTTTAATTAATTAAAGGTTTTTAGTTGAGATAAAAAAGTCAATGGTACCTTCTCAACATCACTTCATAAAACATTAGTTTATAATATGTCTTATGTATTGTGTCTGTATGTTTTGTTTGAGTGCGTGAATTTATTAGCGTGAATGGTGAGGGTAAAATATAACTCATCATCGCCCCTCGAACGTTGAGAGCGTAAGAGCGTGTGTTCGGGGTCGATGGCGAAATATTTATAAAAGTACTCCATCGACCCCAATCTAGATTAGTTTGAGTATAGGTCGGTGGAGGAATATCAAGTACTCCCTGACCAAACGGAATGAGTGTACTGTATGGTGTATTTAAGTGTATGAATGTATTTCTTTGTATGAATGTAGTGTTTGAAATGGTATAGAATATAGAATATAAACTTAGTTGGGGTCTGAAATGACGTAGATGTCGGAAGCCCCAATCAAAAAAAAAAATTAGCCCCGCCTATATTACCTTGTTGTGCAGTACTTACTCAAAAATATCACCAACTTTGCTTACCTTAGAGCAAATTCAGCGTAAACAGCGGTCGCATTGTTACGTTAAATAGCTGATAAAATGTCTAAACTTTGTCTGTGCACAATAGGCGAGACAAGGCTTACGCTTATCTGACCAGAATTCTACCCTTCTTCAGCAAAGTGTTCCTACATCAACGCCCTGATGATTAATTTCCTCCTAATTTTGTATTTTTCCAACAACTAACATTTCATAGCAGCAAGGCAACATTTTAACTTATATTTCAATTAATTAAGGTTTTTAGTTGAGATAAAAAAGTACTCCGCTGCTCTACCACTTGAGCTATCGTGACCTAGATCCACTCGGACACTAACTTCCTATCTCAACCCCACCTTTTGAATTTAAAGTTTAAATGAAGCTTATCTTCACTAAAGCTCTCCGTAGCCATTTCATTTGTCGCCGAGAATCAAATAGGTGTAGGCTAGGGAAAATTCAAAAGATGGGGTCGAGATGGGAAGTTAATGTCCGAGCGGATCGAGGTCACGATAGCTCAAGTGGTAGAGCAGCGGCGTATCTAGCCGAAGATCGTGGGTTCGAATCCCGCTCGTGCCATTGACTTTTTATCTCGACTAAAACCCTTAATTAATTAAAAAGAAATTTAAAAAATCTGTAATTTTTGACTAAACATGTTTTTTGAGAATTATATGTTCTATCAAGGCTGTTAAAAAAATATATTGTAAAAAATCGAACGTAGAAAATCACATCAAAATATCCTAAAAATAAGGCTAACTGGTTTATCAAACTTTTAAATGAAATATGTGGGAGCGTCAGTGGCCGTAACTGTTATGACGTTCATTGCTGTAAGGTAAAGGTCCCGGGTTCAAATCCAGCGACCCTGCATTCAAACCCGACATACTTACAAATTTTTTTTTTCAAAAACACCGGCACCCTGTGAGGGTTGATATGATTTCGGTTAATCTAATGACACATACGGAGATAGGGGCAAACAACGCAAACCCGCACTACTGCCGGTCTGGACTATTTTACCCTTTTAAGTCTCTTATGAACGAACGGAACGAGGAAGACTATTTTTTTTCCTTAAAATAAGGCAGAGAAACTACGACTTTTTCTTGCAGTAACAATATTTATTGTGCTAGGCCTTGGTCCCTTATAGGGAGCGAATAGGCATGATACCCGATATAAAGACATCCTTGGGCATGAGAGTTTGGCTATTGTGTCCCAAGTTCCCATTTGTAAGGGAAATGGAAGTGTTTACTCGAACTTAGTAGTAATTAGGGCGACGGTGGCCGCAGTGACGGCACTTATCACTATAATAAAAGATCCGGGATTCGAATCCAACAGCCTTGTATTCGAACCCGACATACGAATGGGCTTTTTTCAAAAACCCGAGTGTTCATCCAACCCCGTTGTTGAAATACCTTCGTGAAAAAAATCAAAAAATCTGCGCAATATTGAACGTTTTAATTATTTATTGTATCTATTGTTTTGTGTCCGTTGTTGGTAGCCACAATTAGAAAACATAAATTTAATTAATTTACGTCTTTTCTGAAACATCTGATGATTTTTGTTGTACAATGTAATAAGAATAAAATAACTAAAGCGTAAATGTAAGAAGTAATATGACATAAAATAACAATAAATAAATAATCAGGAATCTCCTCAAGTTAGCCTCCAAGGCAACCTAAACGTCGAGAANCTCTGAAATGGTTGAGAATCGGACCATGGTCAATATGAACTTTTTTGTTCATTTTAGGGTCAAGAATCTACTGGTGAAGTTTGTAGCACGAGTAGCAAGTCACCCTGTATACATACATATATACACACACACACACAATAAAACTAATTCCTTGTTCTTCCCTCCATGACTTTTTACAAACAAGCTACAAAATCCTTGATAAAAGTTTGATACGGCAGCTTCAGGGTGAAAATTCCTCAAACCCAAGCATGGCCTTAGCTGGTACGTTTATCTAATTAGCTTTGAAGTCAGTATGATGAAATTTGGTTGAGATAAAAACCGATAGTACGATCAGATGATGTTCGGTCAAAGGACCAGAGATAAATGCATTTAGGAAATTAAATAAAATAAGACAAGGTTCAGTGTTGAAGGCAGGTGAGGATTTCTATGGGGAAGAAGGCCTTTTATAGTTTTCCGATTAATATAAGAGGATATTTTTTAAAAGAGTTCGGAAATACAGCGATTTTTAAGTAACAAGATCGTTCGGAATAAATCGAGATAGCATTTTCTCCAATATTTGATAAAAACCGTATTATAAAAGTATTAATTTTCCATTGTATGTAAGGTTTGAAAATTTTCAACAGTTTATACTATAAAAGAGTTGAATCATTTGTTGGGCGGGGCCCTCGGAAAATAATTATGCCCGTGCGCTCTTGTGAGATAGGATTTTAATACAATTATAAACTTCGGAAGTAGGGGACTTTCAGCGATCGCTTATCGCATGCAAATTGACCTTGTCGAAGGTCAATTTCGACGAGTAAGAACGTTTTCTTCAGTTCATCGATTGTTAACTGGAATCAATTTTGTTTCAGGACGGCTCGATCGAGTTTGAAGAGTTTATTCGAGCGCTTTCCGTCACGTCCCGAGGAAATTTGGACGAGAAACTTCACTGTAAGTCACGATAATAATTCTATTTAAAGATGCTACTTCCATGCAAAATACAAGATGAAAGCCTAACTAACCTCTGTAACATACTACATTCAATATGTAGATTCACCCATTTACATATCTGTAAATAAGCAATATACAGTATAATTTATGAGGAAAGGACTTCCGATATGACGGAATATTCAGGCAGCTTTATTCTATTACGCATTGTCCTTTTTAAAAAGATAGTTCCTACTCACAGTAAGTTGTTTTGTAACGATCCGAATTTCGAGCCCTTTAGCGCATCATCAGATTGAAGACTTCCACAACCACGTCTCTCGACATGAATTGCCAAAGTGAACCCGCTGATACCTCCGCCAACGCGACGTTCCAATTATCAGCTGATTTTTTTAANTGTAGAAGTCCTTCAACCTGATGATGAGCTAAAAGGCTCGAAATCCGGATCATTGCAAAACAACTTACTGTGAGTAGGAACTATTTTTTTAAAAAGGATTGAACACCACACCACACTCACTCCATCATTCATCATTTCTATTACGCATTGTCTTCTGTAAGAAAATGGCTGGATATATATATATATATATATATATATATATGTATACGTCAGTTGTAAATCTGAATAAATATAACATGAAGTCGTAAATTTATAAGCAAAATAAACAAACTGCTTTGGAATATAAAAACTATTCAGAAATCGTGAGATGTGGTTTTTTTTATCGAATATGTTTTTCTGAAATCTACATCACACGAGACCGCATCTCACGATTTCTGAATAATTATCGACTAACGGTCACTAATCACCACACATAATTAAAAACACTTCATTCAACCATTGACCTTCACAAAAACGTAGAACACTTGACCAACTCCTCATATAACAGAGAATCTAGGACTCAATATTAGCCAAAGAAATGCTGTAACTCTATCATATAATTTAACATTCGAATTAAGGCAACTGATATACTGCAAGGGTCGAGCAAGAGTTTGATGGCACCGCACAGAATATTTCTCTGACAAAAGACAATTCATTTGGTAGATATCTAACGTACTGCACAACTATCACAACTTATACATGACTACTGATGACAACTCACTACGGATTGTTACACGGAAAATCTTTAAATATAAAAAAACATCTCATCCCCCAACAGATGGATCTTATCCGAAGAGGACAAAGCCCAAATCCTAGCCCAACAACTCTCTGCAGTATTCATCCTTACCCAGACATCCAAGACCTTTACCATTCTGAAAAAATGGCGTACCATTACCTCTGTCCCTTCAAAACCTGCTCCTGAAGTACTCAAGTGAAGTACTGAGTAAATGTCAAATGGGTTTCCCTAAAGGTTACTCTACAACTGATAATCTACTTGTCCTGTTAAATATCATTAATATCAAACTGGCCAATCCTAAACAAAAATTTTTTTTGTTTTTTCGTGGACTTAAAAGCCGCATTTGATAGTGTAGATCGTAGAGGACTTTTGTTCAAAATTAGTAACTATGGCTTCTCTTCCAAAATTTTGAATATCCTAAAATCCCTTTTCACACAAACAGCATCAGAGGTCCGAGGGCGTGAAGGTTTATCCAATTTTTTTGAGGTTAAATGTGGTGTTAGGCAGGGTTGTCTACTCAGTCCAGTTCTGTTCGCTCTCTTTCTTGATGATCTCCCCTCGACTCTCGAATGTGGAGTCCGAATAGGCAACGTTAGCATAAAAATACTACTTTATGCAGACGATATTGTCATTTTGGCAGATACCGCGCATGGGCTACAAAATAATATTAAAATATTCGAATCATATTGCACCCAGTGGAACCTGACAGTTAATCTCAAAAAGTCCAAAATCATGATTTTCAGAAGAGGGGGGAGAATAAAGGCGACAAACCGCTGGCTTTTTAAGGGGGAAAGAATTGAGGTGGTGAACGAATACAAATACCTTGGAGTCACGCTCACCCCCCAACTACACTGGTCACACCATCTGAAAAAGAAAATATCATATGCGAAGCTTGCTCTCTATAAAACCTAGGCCCCATTGATGAAACAGGAACTGGTTCTGATCCACGTGAAATTTAATGTATTCAACTCGGTATGTCGGACAATCATCAGTTACGGCTGCCAGATATGGGGCTACCAACAATATGAAGAAGTCGAGAAATTCCAAAGATTTTTTATTCGTAAGTTATTTGCTCTTCCTAACCCTACCCCAACCTACATGATTTATATATGCACCTTAAAACTTCACTTTTCATTTATTTTCAAAATTTTGAATTCCCCTTACATAAAATTGGCAAAAATAATTGCGATCGAAGTCATCAGGAATAAGATCGCCTGGTATGCCCAATGCTCTTTCAGAGATTTGAAGTAACCTGTCCCACCTACGAAAACTTTGCTGATTGGCCAGCTCTCTTTTTAGATCTGCTATCTAGATTCAAGGAACGGCATCGGAACGGTTGCTTACTCCGAGCAGTCCTCGCTTAACTTTTCCTTATTCAACGACTTGTCTCACCCCCACACTTTATTTAATCTACAGAGAGAGAACCTTAAGTCCCTTAGTCTTTCAAAGTTAAGATGCTACTAAAAACCCGTTGCGAGGCCCTTAACTTGAACTCTGCACTTTGGTTGAGGGGAAGGAGGGGTTATGTGCCCTTTGCAATTCTCAATCTGTGGAAACAACTCTGCATTTTATGGCCGTGTGTACAATATTGGGCGAGATAAGGTTGTTGCACTTGGGATCTTTTACCCTCTCTAGGAGCACTCAATCAGCTTATTGTCAATTATTGGCAAAATGCTGCAAAACTTTCTATTGACCCTCTTCCAAGGAAATGACTATTAACACTATCACTCATCACCAATGCGGTTTTCGAAGTTACCACCGACTGCCTAACAAGCAGATCGCATAATACGTAATTTCTATTTTTGTGTTTATAGCCCAAGAGTTTGACCGGGTATTGTACTCTGGCCTATTGTAAAAGCTAAAGAATATACGATCAGAAACAACCTTTACTTCCGAGTATCCCGAAAACTTCATTATCTCCTATCTTATGCTAGCAGGTGCGCTCCTCTGCTTTACTCAATTTATGCCTACGATCTATCTACACAACCCAACACTATCACATTCACCTTAGCCGATGATACCGCAAACCCTCCTTCCCATAATCTCCAAAATCACTAGTATATTCTCGAATCCTGGTCCCGACCGGATCAAGAGAAACGAAACTGAATCAACATACATAACACACTTAACTTCAACATTCTGTTTCCCCCAAACCATGGACTCTACCTGGACCACTGACATGGAACCCGCTTAACCGCACAGACTAATATACACGTTTTATCATGTAACAACTACAGTTCGAAAGACGATATAAACTCACAATGACAAAAAAGAAAACTTGTCTTTGCCCTGAAGGTCTCTATTTGGACAAATGGTTTGAACTCGGAAATGTTAAGTGTTCCAACCTTAATCGAATCAGATCCCTTCAAAGTAAAATCCTCAGAACAATAGTCATTATCCGTTCTGTGATTCCAATCACACCTCCCACACCAACTTAAATGTTCTTTTTGTTTCTCATTTAGTTCAATCCCACTACAAAATGTTTCATTCCAAAGTATCCCAGCATACGAATCTCCAAAAATCTGTTACCCACCACGTTACTTAACAATCCCTAGTTGGTGCCCATCTCACTCATCTATCCATCCCTGGTTATTGTTTAGTTCATGTTTCCATGTTATATTTTATACGAATAAAGTATATATTTTACTTGTTGCATCGAACAAATATAGTTGTAAAAAAATACCCTTGACAATGAAAGTTTTATCCTTGTTCTCTGCTGTAATAAATTGTTGTCGTGGGCTAAACTATTCAGTGATTTTTTCGTTTTTGAGGGGGAAGTTGTGCCAGCTTTGAATGGCCATCAGCTGAAAAACCAATTTGTTTGAACATATTGTTTCTAACTGAACTAAAATCTGAAGTCCCGACTCTAGTTCAATCGTATAAAAAAAACTTTCAGCTTAGTTGAACGGATTTTCTCTGGTTTTGATCATTGATTTGGATGTAGTTTTGTTAATTTACTTATTTGACATAAAATCCGGGAATTTCATACTTCCTTTATGATGTCTAATGGGCTCTCTCTCCCTCTCTCATTGTCTCTTTACCTTTATTTCTACCTGTCTTTCTGACTATTTTTCTCTAACTATCTCCACGTTTTTCTCTGTTTCACACTGGCCTTTTCTGCTTTTCTGTCTGTATGTTTGAATGTCGTACTCTGCCTGCCTCCCTAACTCCAACACAGTCAACGTCTCATTTCTTAATACCTTTCTGTTAGTGTCTGTCTCTCTCTGCTTTTGTTGTGTGTGTGTATTTATGTATGTCTTCGTCTCTCTCTCAATTTCTCTTTTTCTGTTTGTACCATTCTTATCTGTTTATTCACTTGTCTATACTGTATAAAATTTTCGTTATCTTTATTGACTTGTAACTGTCTTTATTTTGTTATATATTTTGCTCTCTTTTTTATTTATTCTATGTCTCTCGCTCTTCTTCTCTGTTTTTCTTTCACTACTCCGATCTACCTTATGTTTTCTTCTGACTGTCTCTTTTTTCATTCTTTCATCTCTATCTTCCTTATTGTCTGTCAGAGTCTCTCTCGCTCTCTCTCTCTCTCTCTCTCTCTCACTGTACCTCTGTACCTTTTTCTTTCTTTCTACGTCTCTACCTGACATTTTCTCTCTAATGTTTTTCTCTGTTACTCTCTTTTACTTTGACTTTTACTGTTTTCCTGTCTATATATTTGGCTGTTATACTCTGTCTGTCTCTCTGACTCGCACACATTCAACAGTTCATTTCTGTCTCTCTGGTGTGTGTGTGTGTGTATGTATGTATGTGTATGTCTACCTCTCTCTCACTTTCTCTTGATTTCTTTTTTTTGTTTATACGTTTTTTATTTGTCTATACACTGTCTATAAAATCTGGGTTTTCTTTATTGTCTTGGAATTGTCTTTATTTTTCTTGTTGCTTTGTGTCTCTCACTCTTCCTCTCTGTTTTTTTCTCACTCTCCCTATCCTAAGTTTATTTCTGGCTGTCCCTCTTTTTAATTCTTTCTTCTCTATTCATCCCTATCTTCCTTTCTTTCTGCCTGAGCCTTCCTCTCTCTCTCTCTCTCTCTCTCTCTCTCTCTCTCTCTCTCTCTCTCTAAGTTTCTCTCTTCTTTTTTGTCTACAAGTTTGGTGTCTTTCTTTCCTTTCTCACACTCTCAGAATTGTCCTCTTTCATTTCTCTTTACATTTCTCTGTTTGTTTATCCCTCTCTCACTTTATCTCTATCTTTATTTCACTCTGTCTCTTTGTCTCTTTTTAACTGTAATACTTTTTCCTCATTATCTTCTTTTCTGTCTGCATGTCACTCTCCCCTTCTCTCTCATTTTCGGTCTCGTTCTTTCTCACTATCTCTATTTAACTATCTCTTCCTTTTTCATCAATCTCTCTCTGTCTCTCTGACGGTCTTTTTTTTGTCTTCCTCTCACATTTTCAATCTTTCATTTATCTCTCTCTCTTTCTGGCCAAGAGTGTCACTCTTTGTTCTGTGAGTCAGAAACTGTATCTCTTAACCTGTTTCTCTTTTGCCTCACTCTTTGCATCAAAATTTTTTAAAACAATTTGTATAATTACATCTACGCCAGAACCAAAATCATAAAAATATTTACGTATATTGAAATAAGTTAGTAATAGCAAGTAAGAATCATAACCATTGATTAGGCTGACAAAATGACTTTAAAATATCATGTTTATAAACACGACAATAGTTACATGCATGATTTGAAACGAAACACTTCAATATTCAGAACTAGTGTAATCTCTAACTGGATCTAATTTGCATGTTAACATGTTGCTAGTAACAACCGTAGACCGAACAGATGTACAGGAAAACAATGTGGCACGATTGAGTGCAAATTGTTTTTTAAGGTTTTCTCAAGTTAAAAGTATCAAAAGGTACTCACGGTGGTAGAAACAACAAGGGAAAAAGGTTTTTCTTTCGCCACTAATTCAGCCTGGTAAAAACAAAAAATAAAAACAGACGCGGAAGAAAAGTCAAGTATAAATAATGAATCCTGCTGGCGCTTATTTTAACGAGATGAGTGCGGCTTTATTTTCTTGGCTCTCATCCTAGAATTTTAGCTTAATTTATAGGTCCTTGGAATCTGTTTCTTTTGTTTTGTCAAATTTTCACCTTGACCATCTTGGTAATGGATTTAATTGTTAATGCTTTTTTTAATCGACCTCAGATTGCTAACAAAACATTTTCAACTTGCTGAGCTTACTTTAATTTACGTGAATTTTGTAAATTTGAAGATTTTCTTTTGGACGAGAGGTTGATTGCAGCATTATAACGGTTTCCCAGTGATTTCATTGTTTTAAGAGCAAAATGTACATGTTCTCGTTTTCCAACTTTCGCCGCCCATCTTAGATTTTTTAGAGTCAAAAAAGTGAACGTAGTGATCATCAATTCACGAATTTCGTGGTCCGCTTGACCAATTAAATCTTACAATTAATTAAGGTTTTCAGGTGAGTTAAAAAAAGTCAATGGCGTATCAAGCCGAAGATCGTGGGTTCGAATCCCGCTCGTGCCATTGACTTTTTTATCTCAACTGAAAACCTCAATTAATTGTAATGACCATCGTTGCCTTAGTTTTTCTCAAAATTGTATTTTGTGTCTCGTAGCTTTTTTTGTTAATATAATTTTAATAATGTGCTAATATGTTATTTTGCACCTCAAAATCCTTATGTTAATGTAATAGGGTTGTATTTTATCAAGAAGGAAGTCCATTTCATGTCAGCCTCAAATTGAATGTAGATGCTTGCAGAACGATTGCCTGATTAGATAATACATAGTTCCTTACTTTCACAGAGTATCATATTTTACTTAACACTGAACGATATAACATTGGATATCGGAAAAATTATATTTCTAGTTTTTAAATGTCGTTTAGTTTTCTTTTTGAAAATCTTGGATAAATAATATTAATTAGGGATGGTTAGGGTAAGGTTTTTTATTTTTTATTTTACTGGGGCTTCCGACATCTAGGTCACTTCAGCCCCAAACTAAGTCGATATTCTATTTACACTTTCAAACACTACATTCATACAAATAAATACATTCATACACATAAATACATCCATACAGTACACTCATTCCGTTTGGTCGGTGGAGTACTTTTATAAATATTCCGCCTTCAACCCAGAACACACACTCATACGCTCTCAACGTTCGAGGGGCGATGATGATGTTATATTTCACCCTCACCCCTGGCATTCACGTTAATAAATACATGCACTCAGACAAAACATAAAGACAAACAACACATAAGACTTACTATACAATAAAAAAAAAAAACAATTTCCCCTAAAAAGCGGAACAGGATACCCTGAAACTTGCTGCAGTGCTCGAGAACCTTTCTTAAGTCCGACGGCATGCCTACACGCTCTCTGTATGGCGCAAAGGCATGATACGCCTCTATTATGTGGGACACATCGAACGACCTTTCTTTGCATAAGGGGCACCTGCGCGGGCTTTGGCACAAAAGCAGGTGCCCATGTGTCAACCGTGTATGGCCAATCCTTAGTCGGGTGAGGACGATCCCTCGTCTCCTGCTCAGGTTATCTGAGGGCCATCTACGGTCGTGCTCTTGAATCGCAAGAGCCTCTCCGACCGACCCCGCCCTGACGCTGCCATCTTTCTTTTATCATATTTTTTACTGCGTGTTTAGCGTCAGGGGGCCTGATCGCGATGGTCCGATCTGGAGGGTGGGACGTACCGGCTTTCGCCGCCTCGTCCGCGCGTTCGTTACCCTCCAGGCCGACGTGTCCGGGAATCCAGACAAGTACCACCGTTTTTCCGAGAAACTCCAGCTCCGCGTATTTCTCTAATAAAAGCCCGACGAGAGGGTCCACAGAGAACCTGTCGCGTATAGCTCAGGTAGCGCTCAGTGAGTCGGTACATACGAGAAAGGCTGAGCCCTCCCCGGTCCGCACCGCCTCGAGAGCGTGCCAAATCGCATACAGCTCTGCCGTGTATACGCTGCAGTGAGGGGGCAACGACCAGGAGGTGGCTACTCCCTCGCTATACACAGCACACGCCACACCATCGCCGGTCTTGAACCCCTCTGTAAAAATCAGACGAAAACCGGCGTATCTATTTCTAAGTTCAAGGAACTTATTCTTGAAGAGGTATGGCGGCGTACAGGATTTGGGCAAGTTTGCCAGATCGTCGCGGACGAGTACGGCCGGAAAGCTCCAGGGGGGTGTCGGCCGGTGGCCCAACCGAAGCACCGTCCCAAGCGCCAATCTGGCCCTCCCTAAGGACTCACCGAAGCGAATCCCGAGGGGTCGCGTCCGCGAGCGAAGCCTGTCGTAAACTACTCTGTATGGGCGGTGGATCTTCATAGCCAAGGGGTGCTTCGGCTTGGCCAAGAACACGGCCGCGTAACCGAAGGTGAGTTGCTCTCTCCGAAGTTCGGGAGGCAAAACCCCCAGCTCGCAGCACAGACTGGCCAAGGGGCTGGTCCTGAACGCCCCCGAGATTGCTCTGAGACCCTGATAATAGATGTCGAGCTTTCTCAGGTGCGTTTTTCGGGCCGAGGAATAAGCCATACATCCATAAAAGATCCTCGAACAAAGCAGCGAGTCAATTTTTTTTAGCAGAATCTCCCTGTCCGCTCCTAACCTAAAGTGGCCAACAAATCTCAATAGTGAGAGGGTCTTCCTGCTCTGGACCTCGACGGCGTCGATGTGTGCCATCTCAACTTCTAATCAAATATTATTAATTCGGTACAAAGGTCAAATACATGTTTTTGAGCTTAAACTAAGAGGTTTAGTACAAATACTCCACCTAAACAATTAAAAAAAGGCTTTTTTACACATTTTTAGGCCGTATTTAAGCTCGAATCATGTTAAATAATTTATGCATATCACTTTCAACCTTAAGGCCAAAAAGTTTGGATAAAATCGGCAGAGGTTACAATATCAGCTAAATCTCTTTTTAAATTTGTTCGCCCAGAACGAATAAATAAATGATTCTGTTGTTTCAGGGGCTTTTCGGCTGTACGACGTGGATAACGATGGTTTTATCACGAGAGACGAAATGTACAACATAGTCGACGCTATCTACCAAATGGTGGTAAGTTTTACCTATTTCCGATTTATTTACCTTATTTTAGGTCAGATAGCAGAACAAGGATTTTTGTTCCAATATTAGATGATAAATAATAAAGTTAAACCATTAGATTGGGGTTCGGTATTGATCCCGTGCCCAGCATACAACCGATGTTCATTTTCTTCTAAACCTTTAGGTCTGGAAATCCACTTCAAGGAAATCTTACTGTGCTTTCTTAAAGTCATCAGAGTCATTAATTTAGGCCATCCAAGAAAAGTTTGTAAACATACTCTTTTAGTGATTGTCTGAGAGTATGTAAATTTGTGCACCTTTCATATTTTTGTTTATTAAATACTATTAACAGATTCACTATTTTTCGTGGTCCGCTTGACCAACTATTATCATTGAATTAATTAAGGTTTAAAGTTGAGATAAAAAAGTCAGTGTCACGAGCGGGATTCGAACCCACGACCTTCGGCTTGATACGCCGCTACTCGACCACTTGAGCTATCGTGACTTCCATCCACTTGGACACTAACTTCCCATCTCAAACCCCAACTTATTGAATTTTCCCTCCTTTTTGCCATTTATCAAATGTCGGTAATCGGNCGACACGCAAGAATGGCACAATTACACAGAAGACAAACACTTTGAGCCCTGAAGATGATCTCAATAAAGATCGAAACGTTGGCACGATAAAGAAAGTGTTTTTCTGAAACCTACATCACACCAGACCGCATCGCACGATTTCTGAATAAACACTACAATAATTATTTTCAATTTGACGGAAAATAATTATTGTAAGGAAAATAATTAAATAAGTTATCAAAAGGATTAGCGATTGGATTACGGACGAGCCGGCTTTTAGAGAAATATACAGGGTGTCAGAGAACAATCTTATGTATGTCAGAAGGTTATTCTACTTTGCAAATAGGATTAAAATGTCTATATCGTGCATAGTCTTATTCTCAATCGTTTTAGTGATATTTCACTTTTTGTGTTATTTCAAATTTTCACAACTTGCGCCCATAAAGCTCCCGTATTTAATAAAATATTGATCTTACTCTAAATTTGACTGCATCGATAAAAAGAGCATTAAAAATCCTATGACTCTTTTTTTTATTTTGTACTTAAGCGACCAAAACACAAAATTTAGAAGTTTAGTTAGAACATAAACTTTTTTCAACTTTTCATTGTACTTGTTTAAAGTTTAAGTAGGATTTTCTTGGTTCTGTAAATTCTGACAGATACGGCACTTACAAAAAACTTGCCCCTAATTATTAAAAATTTGATTTTTCGGTCACAAACATTTAATTATTTTTAATAAAAGTTTCAACAAATTAATGCTAATTAAAATTAATTAGTATTTTAAACGATTTGTAACCAAAAAATCAACTTATTATCAATTAAACGTTAATTTTACACTGGTGATAATTGAAATTTGAAAAATAAAGTACATATGTTTTAAGCTCATTAATTGTGGAACTTTTCTGTAAGCGCCGTTTTGTCAGTATTTGCAGAGTCAAAATAATCTTACTAAACTTTAGACAAGAACTTTCCTAAACTCGTAAAAGTTCACCTAAGCGATTTTGAATTTTGTTTGCTTAGGCTTAAAATTGAAAAAACAAATGAATCTCATAGGGTTTGTTTTTAACGCAATTTCTATTAGAGTAATCAAACTTTCAATAGAATTAACATTGTTTTTACTGATTTTTTTTTTTTTTTATGTAGTGGGTGTAGTACACGTTCATCAAAGTGCATGTTTCCTAACGTCTTAAAATATGAAGTCTTGCATCTTAAAAAACAATAACCTCAAAAATCTCTGAAATTCCGGACATCTATGTCTCATTTTAGATGCTAAGTAGAACTACCTAAAAATTCCGCAGTGTTATTTGAGAATTACTGATATATCCAAATTTTGCGAAACCACATTCGGCGATTTACTTTCGGATCACTGTTTTATAGTTCTACAATTGTTCAGGAATAAGTTATTGCATTATATTTCAACTTTTTGTTAACTGAAAAGGGCTGGCTGCTAACAGGGATCACCAATTTTACTGAAACCTTTTTTTATCATACAAGGTCAACAAATCGCTTTGGATGTTGAGAATTTGGAAAAATAATTAAATATTTTTTAAATGTGGTTCCTTCGTTTTTTGGGCATGTATTTCCAATTTGCTATTGATCAGTGGATTTTTTTTAACCTACGATAAACAAAACAATAGGCTGGAGCATATGAAATAAAATTAAATATAAAAAAGTTACAAAAAGTAAAAAGACGTTCCCAATAAAGTAAGGAATTTTTTTACCAATTCCAATTCATTTAACCACCCTATAACATCCTTAAATATGAAAAATAAACATTTATACTGAATTCACCGGTGCAATTTTCTTTCTTTCTATGTTATCCTGTTAAACAAAAATCCATCTATTCTCTGAATTTCATCTAAATCGAACGTTTATACAACTAATTAAAGTTTTTATTTGAGATAAAAAAGTCAGTGTCACGAGCGGGATTCGAACCCACGATCTTCGGCTAGATACGCCGCTACTCTACCACTTGAGCCATCGTGACTTTGATCCACTCGGACACTAACTTCCCATCTCAACTCCACGTTTTGAATTTTCCCTCCTTTTTGCCATTTTTCAAAAAGGTGGGGTTGAAATGGGAAGTTAGTGTCCGAGTGGATCGAAGTCACGATAGCTCAAGTGGTAGAGTAGCGGCGTATCTAGCCGATCGTGGGTTCGAATCCCGCTCGTGACACTGACTTTTTTATCTCAACTAAAAACCTTAATTAATTGGTCAAGCGGACCACGAAAACTAGTGAATTTAATATGTTTATACAACAATCAATATAAGTGAGATATCAAATCACTAAAATCATGTTAATAATTTTATTTTAGTAATCTGTGATATTGATTTATATGAAGAGGCCATGTTTCCTATACAGTTCTCAATACTTTTAATGTTGCTTCAGTGGAGTTTTCTTTTAATTTAAGACAATAAAATAATAAGTACGACCGCATTGAAGAAATGTATGAAAAGTTGAAAACACCCTTAGGAAACACCCCTTTCAGTAAAATATGTGGGATAAAACATTTTTCGTTAAAAAGATCGGATTCTCTTTAAGCCAACTTTAATCCCTCGAATATAAATTTTCATTGCAATAAAAAAAATGCGCGTTATTTAGCTGGATTATTTTTTCTTTCATGTTCCTTTTAAACATTCCTAACACCTCTGGAATTTTTCAAAGGAAGGTTTAGATTTTATGTCGTTATAAGTAGGAAAAATAAGCATGATTTACGGCAGCCTTAATTTATGCCATTTTACGTGGTTTATGGCGTTCTTAATCCCTGTAGATTTCCTCGATCAGTGGAGTCGTTCCCAAACTATAAAATATTTTAGAGCCATTTAAAGAACAAACAATTTGGGGCTTTGTTTTATTTAAAAAAAAAAATCTTTCAGGGGTTTATTATGTATTGAGTGGTGTGGAATAACGTTGTATTTTGCTAAAAAAAACTATTGTAACCTACTTTCCAAAAATATGAATAGGCGATTGAGAAAATGCGTGAAATTACGTTGTGACCGAGGTACTTACAAATATATTTAAACAGAAGCGAAAAGCCTTAAGAATTTAAGGAAATGTAAATTTTAAATATTATTGCAAAAAATGTTTTATAAAGTTCAAAACTTCAACCCTCCCCACCTAGAATTGTACATAATAAAGTGCGTGATTTATAGCTTTAAATTAAGATACACTCGAAAAACTGCCAAAGATGTACAGCGTTTTAAAACGAGAAATTGTGATAAATAATTACTGAGAGGTTAAACCTGAAAAGATGAAAAAGTGGATGTAATTATTGGCCCATAAAACATTAAAATATAATACCTGACAATATCAAAAACCCGTCATAAAGGAGTTATAAAGAAAGAATCAAATTGTACCTACTTTCCAAGGTACAACCTCGAAAATTTAGATTAAATTATAAGAAAGGATATAAAAATGATATGTATGTATTTGACGATTGTAATGAAATCACACAATTCTTGATTCTAGCTTTTTGACATACAAACACAACAAAAACAGAATATAAGTAATTGTAACAGAATATGTAATTAAAAAGTAGTTAGGGCACATAGGATTCGCAACCTAATATTTTTCGACATAGTACGACCTCAAACGACATTAATATAGACAAAATTCGCTTTCAAAACGTTAAATTATATAAAGTTTTTGTTTTATCATGTTCTGAAAACTCATGTTTTGTAGCAAAGTATAACGATTTTTTTTCAACGTTGAAATTTGGAAACAATGAAATATCTTGGTAAAAAAGAGTGAACAAATTAACTAATGAAAGAGGTTCCTAATTGAGAGTAAAACCGTGTAACATTATTTTGGCGTTAAAAGATTTAGCCTGTCAAATCTGAAAAACTGAACTTTTTGTTCTAAAATATCATGTTCTGTAGCAATATATAACGATTTTTTTTTCAACGTTGGAATTTGGAAACAATAAAATAAGACAGTAAAAACGAATGAAAAAATTAACTGAAGTGAGAGGTTTTTAATGTAAGAGTAAAACTTGTAACATTGTTTTGGTGTTAAAAAATTTAGCCTGTCAAATCTGGAAAAGGGAACTTTTTTAAGTTCCTCAGCAGCTGGATAATGCATTTATATTTCAACAGCTCGTAGGAAAACAAAAACCGGACTTTCCTTTGTGACGTCCTAAATCCCCAAAGTTTACGTTTACGTTAATAGTGAATATATCAATAATTTTTCGCTTTTAAAATGTTAAACTCTATAAAGTTTTTGTTTTATAATGTTCTAAAAAATCATGTTAGGAAAGTATAACGATATTTTTTTCAACGTTGGAATTTGGAAACAATAAAATAAGATAGTAAAAAAGAATGAAAAAATTAACTGAAGTGAGAGGTTTTTAATGTGAGAGTAAAGCTTGTAAAATTGTTTGAGCGTTAAAAAATTTAGCCTATCAAATCTGAAAAAACGGAACTTTTTTAAGTTCTTCAGCAACCGGATAATGCATTTATATTTCAACCGCCAAAAGGAAAACAAAAACGGGACTTTCCTTTGTGACGTCCTAAATCCCCAAAGTTCACGTTTACGTTAATAGTGAATATATCAATAATTTTTCCCTTTTCAAATGTTAAACTATATAACGTTTTTGTTTTATGAAGTTCTAAAAAAATTATGTTCTGTAGCAAAGTAGAACGATTTTTTTTCAACGTTGGAATTTAGAAACAATAAAATGAGATAGTAAAAAAGAATGAAAAAATTAACTAAAGTGAGAGATTTTTAATGTGAGACTTGTAACATTGTTTTGGCGTTAAAAAATTTAGCCTGTCAAATCTGGAAAAGGGAACTTTTTTTAAGTTCCTCAGCAGACGGATAATGCATTTATATTTCAACAGCTCGTGGGAAAACAAAAACCGGACTTTCCTTTGTGACGTCCTAAATCACCAAAGTTGTGGCTTCACTTTGGAAATAAACAATCCCGGTATTGAAGTACGGGTTTGCAGGATTTTCGAAACCATTAATGGCGACCGGTGTTATTTTGACTTTTACTTTAGAAACAAAATGGAATTTTGTCAATTAATAACCGGAAATAGTCGATCAGAAAAGGCTGAATAAATTAACCCGGGATGAAACGTTTTTCCGACACGTAGAACATCAAAGCATCCCAAAGGTTTTTCACACTTTTATTTGGAGCTGATTAAAAGTTAAATGTCAAATTATCTTTTTCTTTGTAAGTCTTAAAATAAGTATCTGTGATATTGACAAGATGGAAAGAAAGTATAATTTTATCATTTTTCTGGAAAAAATTTTTTTGATTTTTGCCGAGATCTTTTGCAAAGTTGGTTTTTTTAAATTATTTTATTTAAATCTTGTGTACATACACTTTATGTTTTGGTAATATATACTGATATACAGCACGATCAAAAAGTGTGATTAACATGGCATTTGAGGGTGGATCCTGCCCTATAGCAGTCCACACAATAATTCACTGGAGTATAATAATATGAGAATTAATAAATAAATTAACCTCCTTATCACAAATTATTCAGAAATTGTGAGATCCGGTCTGGTGTGGTGTAGGTTTCAGAAAAACATTTTCTTTATCGTGCCAACGTTTCGATCCTTATGAGATCATCTTCAGGGCTCAAATTGTTTGTCTTCTGTGTAATTGTGCCATTCTTGTGGGCACTCTCAACACGACACGCAAGAATGGCAGAATTACACAGAAGCCAAACACTTTGAGCCCTGAAGATGATCTCAATAAAGATCGAAACGTTGGCACGACAAAGAAAAAGTTTTTCTGAAACCTACATCACACCAGATCGCATCTCACGATTTCTGAATAATTATCGATTAACGGTCACTAATCACCACACATTTCTACTTATCACAGATTACGTATCAGAGATAAAAAATCAGTGTCACGAGCGGGATTCGAACCCACGACCTTCAGCTCGACAGGCCGCTACTCTACCACTTGAGCTACTTCGATCCACTCGGACACTTACCATTTCAACCCCACGTATCTTGCCGAAGGTCGTGGGTTCGAATCCCGCTCGTGACACTGACTTTTCTATCTCAACTAAAAACTTTTTCAATAACCTCTACTAAAGTTATAATTTCCCATCTTAATCATGTTTTGTTTTTTCAGGGTCAACAGCCCCAACCGGAAGACGACAACACGCCGAAAAAGAGAGTCGACAAAATTTTCGATCAAATGGACAAAAACCACGACGACCGGCTGACGCTGGAAGAATTTCGGGAGGGGAGCAAAGCCGACCCGAGGATAGTACAGGCCCTGTCGATGGGAGGTGGTGCCGGTGCCATGGAACTGAACCAACCACAACACGCAATTTAGCTACCTGGTTAAATTGCTTCATTTACCGGCCGGTATTTTAAAAGAAAAAACAAAATGGAAACAAACACAATTTTCCCCCAATTGTAATTTCCAGTTCAACCATCCATCAGTTCGTGCCACCTAGCAAAATCAGTAGGGGTTGTTATTTACTGAAATAATTTAATAAAAAATTGGCTTTCAATATTTGTTATTTAGAATTATGTGAATTGTGATTAATCTGTGGTGTAAAGTGCTACCGATGTTGATTCAAATTGTAGTACTAATTCGTAGATATTAGAATAGATTTGTCTAAAATTTGTTTACAAAATTAACAACAAAAACATACTATTCCGAGCAGTAAAGTAAAATTTTGAAAAAACATTGGAACTGAAATTTATACATAATTTATACCACGTAGGCAGACAATTAGGTTTTTTGGTAGCTGTGTCAAAAATATTAGACTAAATTGTAGCCAATAAAAAAAAAGAGGCGAAAAGGTTATAACTTTTATGCAATTTTTTATATTTTTTGGTGTTTTTTGTATAGTTAAGCCATGGAATTAGAAAAGTTGACACTAGTCGTATCAGAATGGATTCAGACAATTCAGTGGCCCTCCTTCCACTTATTGATTTTCGTCAATGGTGAGACAAACACAAAGTCCATCTCTAGAAAGAACGTTTTTTCATCTTGGTACGGAAAATTAACTCCGCTCGACTTTATTCTGTTTTTGAATCCAGCTTAAATCGAAGCTTTTTGTATTTACTTGTCCTTATTATTTGAAAATTGTCACCTCTATTTTAGCACGAGAGATATCGTTTTCTTCTATCGGACGTAAAATAATAATTAAATAGAAGATAACGAGTTCTTGTGCAATAAAAAAATGCAATCATTGAAATGGCCTAAAAGCTTATTTAAAAACAGTGTTTTGTTTAAATAAATATGTTAAATTGCTTGATCAAAAGCCCTTGAAATCAAACTTTGTTGCACCCCTTCCTCAGCTAGACTAAAAAATTCAATTATTTTAGAGACCTATCGCTAAACTGCGTGAATTTTTAATTTTAACACACGCACATATGTATATATGAAATATTTCATATATACTCAAAAATATTCGTTTATATTGTATATATGAATATATATACATGAAATGTAAAATTCTTCACGTTTTTAAAGCTTGAGGAGTTAAATGGATAAATCAAGCTATTTGTACACAAAATATAGACAATTCGTGATTATTTTTAACAGCTAACTGTTATCAATTTTATACCTAACTTGTAGTGGATAATTTAATACAGTTTTGAATTTTTATTTTAATACATCTGTAGTTCCATAATCCACAATTCAACAAAATCATCGTGGACTAGACGTCATAGCGACATTCTTAGAACCTAGTTCTGGCGTTTTTCTAGATGTCTCGCAGTTCATGTCAAAAGAAAATCAAATCCTTTTTTCCTAGTATATATTATCTCAACTTAAATTTCTACCTGATCATTTCATGATATTTAACCCTCAACCTCGGGGAATTCATCAAGGGAGGATCCTAGGTCCGTTATTTTTCATAATATACACGGTAGACTTCTTACAATACACTAATACACTCTTATATATTTTGAAAGTACATTCTTTTCTGAAAATCTAGTTCCTGCTCTGGTTTCTCCAAAACCACATCCATAGAACCAATGTTCAATAAATAAAGGATAAAAATAAATGAAAACAAATACGGTCTACTGCTGAAACGCAATCCTTTCTATTTCATACTCTTCTTTGAAAATCCTAACATGATTTTATCATGTTACCAATTTCTCCTGTTCATTTAGACTTCTCTGGAGTTCCCCAAGGGGACAGCCTATGTCGGTTACTTTTCACCACATACACGGCAGACTTCCCACGTCGCTCTAATACCATCCTTTTTCTCACAATATAGCAACCTTAAAAAACCTCAATCCTCCATAAATGGAGAATAAAAATAAATAAAAACAAATCCTAATATGTGCCCTTTACCTTCAGATGTAAAATACTCCTTCCCGTTGATATGAATCAAATTCAACTTTTTGGAGCAGATCGCGACAATTGAGACTGAACATGAACTAATATTGACATGGAATTCACATATGCGACTTAAAAATGCAAAATTGAACATGTACAAAACATCTACAAAATTACAAGAAATAGGTTGAAGATTTACTATTTATAACTGCATAAAAAATACTTACGTACTAGCAACGTCTAAAAAATCAAACTTCCAATCCAGTCCAAAATCATTCTGGTTTTCTATGTTAGTAACCAAACTGAAGTTCTTCGAATAACTTATGTTCCTGGCCCAGGCTAATCCCGATAACTCATATTCCACCAAAATTGATTTTTTTCGTTTCTTTTCTATTTTATCCTCCTTAATAATCCGACCAACTACAAACTTAAAGCTCACATTCGCGCTTAACACGCCACTTACGTTTTTTCATGTAAACTATCTGCTTATTGCGTAAATTGGTGCAGTTTTAGATAAATAATAATACAAATTTATTAATCGATATTTTTGTCACGTGTGCTTTTTCAAATCTGAATTCTTCCAGAAAATATATTTAAATATTTAAATCTATTTATATATAAATATAAATCGTTAAATAAGTAATCTCTTTAGGATTTAATATCAATTTAATGTTTTCAAATATATCGTAATAATGGCTTTTGAAAAGGTTTAATTCAATAGTAGCTAGTTTGCTAATTGTAGACCAAATAATCACGAGTATGTAGCTAAGTATGTTTTAATGCGTTTTTCAATATGACTTGCTTATTCCTGTTTTGTTTAGTACTAAATAACAGTTTTCTAATCAATAAGCGTGCGTTGTTTGGCCATTGTTGAAAGTTAAACTACAACTCACAAGTCAAATGTGCATTCACCCGGGAAGAATTTAAATTTAACGTAGCCGCATCTACTTGACAACGAATCGCAGCGATTTTTCATCTCGACTATTCAGTTATCTTATATTTAATCGTCGATTAAAACAGAATTGTTTGGACAATCAGGAAAGCAAAGACAATCTTTTCTAGTTCCTAAATTCGCACGCAGGAATCTCAGGTCGACCTGGTTTTCTTTTTATTTTTTTCTATACATTTCTACCCGTTGGGACCATATTTTGAAATAATCATTTGGAAAATCGAACAATAACAGGCCAAGCACAGTTAAAAAGTCTTTCGACAACGCGATCCTTTTTTTTTGTAATATAAAGGATCCACTGGTATTTCATTTAAAAAAATTAGTTTCAATTTGTGTGATTAAAACACATCTGGTTTATTCACGTACATAGTTGAACTAAGAAAGGGAGTTGCAACAGATTTTGATAACAGAGTTTAGTCAGTCTTTTAATTTGGCATATCTAAAAACCAAAAATTACGATTTTGTAATATATATATAATATATAATATCTATAATATATAGCCCTGCATGCTTACAGTAATTAGATAATTAAAAATATTAAAAAAACTTTTATACAAAAATTTGTAATTTTCGCTAAGAGAAATTTGTTTTATGAACGCACTGACATTGGTATAAAAAAATTATGTTATTTTGAGTGAATTTAGAACGAATTTGACAAAAAAAAGTTTACAAGACTAAATTTTTTATTGTAGGAAAAGATTTTACACAAAAAATTATATAAATTGAAAAAAAGGGGGGAGAAATGCTCAGTAAATATGGGTAAGTTTCTTTTATTTTTGTTATTTTAGGATTGTTATTTTAGAAAAAAAATATATAAGTGCTAAAAAAAAAAAAAAGAAAAAAAAGCAGAATGCATATATTTCAGTCAATTCGTTTTCAGGCTGAAATTATAAAAAGTATATTAATACAATTGACAACATTTGAATATTTTAAACCAATCTTTTTGGATAAAATTAGTTTTGAGCATGGTGTAATTTCATGTTTATTAAATAATATGTATACTCGGTTTTAAAGCATTGAGTCGTCGAAATAATGCAATTTTATCAATACAAGCCTATTTTTCTATTTAAAAAAAAGATTAAAACAAATATAAAGAGGTATGTAGAGAGTGTATTATTTACGTAAAAAAAAAATAATGAGGCAGTTAGTCTAAGGGCCGCTCGTTCTCGCTTTTTACAGTGTAATTGGCGATCTGCATTTTCCAGTCTTTGTAGTCAGAAAATCAACCGCTGAAGACGGCGAGATGGAAAATTTTAACGTAAATAATTTTTGGTAAAGAACAATATTTATCATACAGGCCGCCATCCGACATCTCGTTATACATTCACGCTAATAGATACATTCACTCTCACACAATTTGTCCCAGGAACTCGAAGCAGTGCCCAAGTATAATTCTTCATAGATTCACCTGCACGCTCTCTATACAGCACTGTATAATTTCTATAAAGTATGGCATTTTAATCAATTAGCTAAATTAAATAAATGTCTAAATGCCGTGATATTAAAAAAAAATATAAAAAAATATTTGTGCTTGTTTGTGCTCTACCTCAAGAGGATACTTTATCAGTAAATTTATCACGACTCATGCTGAAAATCATCAAAAAGCTATTTATTTTTAATCCATTTCCTAATGCTTCGTATAAAAAGGTTTAGCTGTTTGACGTACGGGTCTTAACTGTAATCGGTCATTCCGCCTTAGCCCATGTGACCTCTCTCTAATGCCTTGTTAATTATTATTGGGTCAAATTAAATTTTCAAATTGTAAAAAATATTGGAAAAATAAAAGTATTAAACAAAGATTGATACAAATAAGGGAGTGTGTTGGCTTTTTGTAAATATATAAATATATTTTTCATAAAGGACAATTTTTCATTGTACATATTTTGGACTATCAACGGTTTTGGTTGTTTTTTCTTCTATTTTATATTTATATACAAGTATTAATTTTAGCATGTTGCTGTTGATTATTGAACTCTACAATGTTTTATTTGTTATTAGTTTTGTTAATGCCAATTTTTTAAATATATGAAAACTAGCTTACTTTTTTTTACTAACAAATAACAAAAAAAAAGTTCTAAAATTTGTAATTTTATAATTAATATTAAATAAACAAGGTACATTTAGAGCAAATTATTATTTATATAAAAGAGTTATAAAACGTAATAAAACTTTTAAAAAAATTCAAAATTGTTTATACAAATTTGTTAACTCTGGACGTGAAATGTTTCTTCGTTCATACACTCGTGTCATAAAACTTTTTTAATGTTGACCTACAAAAAAAATTGCTGTTGTTTTACTTATAAGCTGTACTAGATAATTAATTAATCAGAATGTATTTATTATCTGTATTTGTTAAATTTCTAAATAATTTATAATATTCCTGTAGTCCCACAATATTAAATTTATTACAATGTGAATTTGCCAACACATGTTTTTATATAATAAAATGCAAATTAATCAACATGAATCGACTAGTGGGCATTAATTAAAATGTATACAAGTTATTAAATTTAAAAAACTCTAAGTTTGAAAAAGGTTCCCGATTTTGTTCAAAACATTATTTTTTAAAAATTGTAGAAAGCTCTAATTTTTGTCCAGTGGTCGTTGGTTATTTGTACAATGTTAGGATGTAAATATTGAACGCATACAACATATATTTATTTTCATTGTAGTGCTTTTCAGGCTTTGCCCGGCGTGGTCTTTCTGATTGATGGTTTTCTTTTAAATTATTTTATTTTATGAATTATGCTAACATGGGATATATTTTTTGGACGAGCGGACTTTATTGGTCAATTTTTACTTTTCTCCCTTGCATTTTTTCGTCCAAATTCATTCCAGGAAAGTTATGTTCATAACAATTAGGTTTGAAACGTTAACCGATTGAAACGTAGTATCCTAGTCTCCCTAAGTTGTTCTGTTTGGAATCACGCTAATAAAGTAGAAATTCTTCGGCGTTATTGGAGAAGAAGTCCCTCCACTCACACACCAGACTTCAATCACACTATCCCAGATAAGTCGATATTCTTCAGGGTTGTAAAGGAAGAAGCCAATCCATTAAAGTAATAAATTACTTTCATAGGCTCCTTTGACATTACCCTAAGAGTACTTGATATTACGTTATATAATTCGCAGAGAACCTCGAGGCGATAGGGAACAGAATCACTCCATTCACGCTAATAATTACAATCACACTACTAGATTACTCGATATTTCATTGGTTCTCTCCTTTCACATTAATAATCAACAGTCTCTCAAAAATAAGGACTTTTTCGGCATTAGTCTCTAGGTCATTCTAGGGAATAAATATAAATAGATTAGTATACATATCTCAATCACTCGTGCCCGCAAAGTACGGTATTTCTCGGAGATCTAAGGATCTGAACTCTCCATTCACGCTAATAAGTAAATTCCTTTAATATATAACATATAAACGATTGTAAATACAAAAATCTACATATACTTGAAACTACTTATGGCCGTGAGATATAGGATCTAATAATAATTTATTATTATTATATTAACGATATTTATGATTACTTGTTGGCTCATATGATTATATTACATGTCATATTTGTAATTTCGTTGTTTCCCTTTTACGCTTTTTTTTATCTCCCTGAAATTTTACGTAATTTTTAACAATGTTAATAAACATTACAATAAATTAAGGTTTTTAGTTGAGATAAAAAAAAGTTAGTGGCACGAGCGGGATTCGAACCCACGATCTTCGGCTAGATACGCCGCTGCTCTACCACTTGAGCTATCGTGACCTCGATCCACTCGGACATCAACTTCCTATCTCAACCCCACCTTATGAGTTTGGGGTTGAGATAGGAAGTTGATGTCCGAGTGGATCGAGGTCACTATAGCTCAAGTGGTAGAGCAGCGGCGTATCTAGCCGAAGATCGTGAGTTCGAATCCCGCTCGTGCCATTAACTTTTTTCATCTCAACAGAAAACCTTATTAATTGTAATGTATCAATTGGTCAAGCGAACCACGAAATTAGTGAAGTTAATAAACATTTTTTGAAGCTTCGAGGTTTTGTTTTTTTATAGGTTTATAGACTGTTTTGTTCCTAGGTTTTTTGCTGTTCTTCATTATTTTAAAAAAATCTTTTGATTTTTGATTTAACTTATTAAGCGAGAACTTTATTTTAAACTATGATTATTATTTTATATTATTAAACAATTGAATTTCTTCTAAAATATATATGATCTTAATTTAAATTAATTAATTAAAATAAAATAATTGTAAAGAATAAGATACTGAAGAAGACAATTAAATAAAAGCCTGCAATGAGAATAAATGTATACAAATGTATGAGTTCAATATGTATAAATAACTGCTCTTAAATAAAGAAAATTCCTTAACGTCAATAAAGATTTCTTTTTTTGGTAATAAATAATTTTAAAAAAAAAGCTATATAACGACTGTACATTTTTAATTGATAAAATAATGAAAATTTTACTGTTGTGAGTGTTGTAAAATAATAAATTAAAAAATAAATTTGGGGCACTAAATTATTATTGTCGTAGTCATTGCGTAAATTTACAGTTTAATTTGTGCGCGCTTTATAAGTCGAATATTTGTAGAATGCATGACGTTTATTGTCAGCGAATCCCTTCCCGATTTGCATGATTTCAACACTGGAATATTTTATAATTGTCAACTGTATTTTTTGTGTTTTCACTTTTCTAGCACTGCTCCATTAATATAAATGTTACAATTGAAAGTTGCACGGCCAACAAATAATGTAGACGAATAATGTGAATTGTTTATAAGTTTTAAGCATGTATGTAATACAAAACAAATAATATAATATATAATAAAATTATTTAAAAGAAGCAAAGAGCATATTAAAAAAAATATATATGTATATAAAAGAAAATCTGTTGTTGACCCGTTAATATAATATTTACCTCATTGTGATTGTACTATTTATAAATATTGCCTATCGTTCATTGTTGAATGTGAAATTTGTTGGCATCTTTGCAATAATATTTAAAATATTACGTGTTTTCTTTTATTTTTTTTTTCAACCTTTCATCCTAGAATTTATTATGTACTACTAAAAAAACAATAATAAACCAGACTAAGTGAAAAAGTTACAAAAATGGATACATCTATTGCAACTATAATACGAAAAATATAATAATGTACATGATTGTTTATAGATTTAGAATGGGATCTAAAAAAAATCACGAAAACTATTTTCTATAAAGCATGACTAGCTCAATTATTTTAGATTTTCATGTTTTCCCTGGCCAACTGAATATTATAAATTTTGTCAAATTGTCACATTTGGCCAATTATCAAATATTTGGTGAATCTTCAAATATTCTGCTCAATCACAGAGGTGAGTTTTACATCAGGAAATTGTTTAAACAAATTTCCTGGTGTGCTAACTTTTTTTCCCAACTCCATTCTCGCTAATAACTTAGTTTTCCTCCCAAGATGTCATACCTCACCCCAGAGAGCTCGAAATTCCTCCGGGCGGGGTCAAAACCCACCCCATTCTCGCTAATAACTTAGTTTCCCTCCCACGACGTCATACCTCACCCCAGGGAGCTCGAAATTCCTCGGG